CTTTAATATTGTTTATTTACTGTCTTAGTTGTGTGTGGTGTTTAATTTACATTTTGTTGTTCTTTGTTTTATTTTTTTTCATTCAAGTGCATTTTTTTGTTAGAGACTGAGAGTCCTCTTTGTTAAACATTCTTTTAAAAATTAAAGTTTGTTGATTTATTACACTTACACATTACGCTTTTATAATTATTAGTTGTAAAACGGTCACCAGGCAATATTATCGTTTATCGCAATAATTTTTGAGACAATTAATCGCCCAGCAAAATTTGTTATCGTGACAGGCCTACTGGAACCTGAGACCTGAACAGGATTCAGGAGACCGAAGTGGGATTAATCTGTACAGGTTTTAAAAAACTGCAGTTCTGATCCGAGAAGCCAAACGTCTCCAAAATAAAGTCCAGTTACTCGTTTTTAAACTTTTAAACTGTTTGTATGTGTGTGTGCCTGATTGTGTGTATAGGTGTGTGTGTTTTGTGTATATTAATTAACGAGGTTATAATTATTGTACGTAGGTGTGGATGTGTATATGTGTGTGTAAGAAAAATACGTATTCAACAGACTGAAGTCGATATTAAACCCATCATTGTTAAATAAAATGATTTGTAGAAGGAATCAAACCATACAACACCWGARTTCTGGAACTGAGGTTTGATGTCACCAGAGTTGACAGGAAGCCAACACTGGCAAAAAACCAGGAAGTTCATCTATTTATACAGGTTCTTCAATGCCCTTCGCCCCCTACTGACCTACGGCTGAATCACAGGCATTCAGACAAAATTCTCATCTAATGTTCTCATAACGGTTAATTATGTGTTGTTATAATTTGGACATGTACCTGAACCTATTTCAATCAAAACATAATAGATTAAACATTGTCAACATTATAAAAAGGAAAACCTAAAAATATAGTGTTGTGCTTTTAACATCAGTACTAACCTCCAATAACTATAAATTTCTTCATGTGTATGTGTATATGTACATACATCTGTTTAAGTTTGGTTGCTGTTTGTGTGTTTGTTCTCTTCATTTGCTGATGGTCAGATGTTGGCTGTGGTGTCCTGTGTGTTGGTGTTCATTTCACATGTTCTATAATTTCACATGTTCTATAATTTCTATCGGTTTCTCTCTTTGCTGTTCTTATATTTCTCTTCTACTTTTTCTTTTTCTTACTTACTATAGTATTATAAAAATAAAAAAAAAACAGTGATGATGCAGAAAATAAGAAACTAACATTCAGTTTTGTTTTCTACTGAAGTGGCAAAAACAAAAAAAATCCCTGCAGTTCTGACCCGAGAAGCCAAACCTCTCCAAAATAAAGTCCAGTTACTTGTTTTTAAACTTTTAGATTCGATATTAAACAGATTTATTTCGTCTCAAACTGATCCCACCTGACTGGACGGTTGACTCCAGCAGGTCTGGTGAAGCCGGTCTCACAGAGTCTCAAACAGATCTGAAGGCTGGAAAAACCCTCGCTGTCTCTTTAAGCTGCTGCTTTGTTCAGACCCGGGGCCTGGGGTCCCGCTGCTGGCCCCGCAGGGCCCCCCTCCGTGACCCCCCCACCACCCCCGGGCCTCGTGTTCAGCTGTTTCCGGAGCGGAGCAGCGATTTGTGTGGCGTTCTGTCACATATTTCAGCGGGCCTGGCCCTCATTAAAYACGGCGGCGCGCGGCGAGGTAATTGTTTTAATTTATTTGTTTATGGCGCAGGCGGAGGGGACGGGCACATGGCACTCTGCAGCTTTATTGGCAACATATGGAAGACATTCATCACCATTTGCAGCGATCGGCCTAAATGATTTTATTAACTAATTTGTAACTTTACACTTTTTTAATCAAACACATGCTGCGTGCTGTAATGCTCTGATAATGCTCCGGGGCTTTGTAAAGAGAACGCACGCAGCCGGAGGGAAATAAMGGCAAGAGGAGGAGAAGGGGAGACGAAATGAAAGAGGAGGAGGAGGCCGATGATGATGATGAAGGTGATGATTATGAGCCGAGGCTCGCAGGTCTTTAGGATCCTGTTTACCTGAACTCGGGGAAACACTGATGAACACGTCTCGGTCTGCAGGAATGTGGGTCCTGCGGGGTGGGGCCTCCAGCCTGGATCCAGACCTCTGCGGGTCGGAACCGCTGAGGGCCGGACCTGCAGGAGCTGAGAAATCCTGGAGTGAGAGAGAGCAAAGTGGTCTCAGAGGAGACGTGAAATAAATGTTCAGAGTTCACAGCTGCACCTTCTCAACGTGGTCCGTTCTGTTTGTAACGATGATGTCACAACAGTCCAACAGAACGAAGACCTGAGGGTCCAGAGTCCCACAACAGAACCGTAAAACAGAACTCTCTTTCCAGTGAGTGCCTGAGATTTACACAGAAACAGTTAAAGGGCCAATTTTATGTTTCTCAGGCATATATTTAAATACTATACATTAATAAAGTATCTACAGTATGTCACCTTTAGCTGTTATTAAAATGCTGTTTTTA